CCAGACTGCCTTGCACCGTGACTGATGTCAGGGCGCTAGGAGCACCGGCCGGGAGCCCCACTCCCAGGCCCGCGCGCCCACACGTTCTACGAGACATCCGAAACGCACACAACGCCTTTCTGAGTTGTCGAAGATCGATCCTTGGAAGGCTTATACTCTTCATTTTCTGTCTCTAATTGTGGGTGACATGATTAAAATTGGTTTCCAAGGATAAATGTGTATCATGCCTGTAGGTGACCACAGGCACCAGGTATACCCGAGCTGTAATTTACTCTGACGTAGCCCTCAGGGTATGATGAGACACTTATGAAATACATAGCGACGATAATAGTGCATGTAACATGTGAATACTATCTAACCTGTACTAGAACACGCAACAGTTGCTGGCCCAGAGTAGGCATCTGATATTGTATTTGTTGACTAAGTGGCAAAAGATAAGTAATGTAACTAAATTATATGTGAATGTGTTCTTTTTGTAAGAAAAAAAGTCATTTCTTAAAACTGAAGCATTCTTTGCATCTAATTATTCTCAGTTTGTCAGTGTATACACAGACGAACATACACATATCAACAACACACAGCCCCCCAACACACCCATATCCATATACATGGGTTTCATATTATACTGAGTGCCATGTGGCACTCAGTATGAACCTGAAGTCCTTTTCTCTTTTCACTTCCTACCATTTGGATATCAAAGTAATTACTTTTCCTGCTATTATTGTCACCAGCCAGATAACAGAGTATGATTAGGAAAGTAAAGTTGATCCATTTCAGCACTATAGACCAGTGCTGTTGGCTAACTTGCTTCCATTCTTGTAAAAATTATGCAGTTTAAACTGGAAGATAGCAGTCTCCAGTTCTATTAGGAACAAGAAACCTTTTCTACTTCATAATATGCTCAATTACCTTTGGATTGATCCATGAATAAATTATAATCCAAATAGACTTCTTTACCTTAAAGCTTTGCGGGCTTAAGGTATCATTGTTGATTCATTATGTTGTCACTTTTCTATCGGCAGTGTAATGCTCTTTCTATCTGGACACAGGCAGTTTTAGCACGAGATACTGTTATCTTTAAATGAGTAGGATTTAGCTCTTCTGGTGAGAACAAATTCATCAGTGATGAGTCCCCGGAGAAGCTATTGAAACAAAAATCACACCATCCCTGAGCTTTGTTCAGTTCATCAGTTACAAAGCAGCTTTTGATAAAAGTTCTCAAGAACTTTTTCCTTTGTTTAAAATACATAGCATGGCACTCAGACCCCTTGCTGGGAGTTACCGCAGGCTAAGACGTTTCTGCAGGAAAATAAGGAATGACGTGGGTGCATGCCTGCTGCTGGCTGTCGGCCGGCCACCGCTTGTCCCGCAACAGGAAATCAGGTAGCTGTCTGTTCAGGCAGAGGTTTGAACTGAGCGCTTCATTAGTCGTCACTGACCCCACACACGCGCCGCGGCCAGCTACCCATACGTCTCTGCTCTTCCTGAGTTTTCTCTGCTTTGGTTCGTCTCTTTGGCGAGATCAGAACACAAACAGTGGCCTAAAGGGAGTTATGTGGAAAGGTGATCCCTTCCGTGCAGGGGGGAATTTATCTTCTTTACTTTTGGAAAACTTAACTTTTAAAATGTTCAGTACTCAGATACCCTGGAGGCAGCTCAATACATACAATGTGATTTTTAAAAAACAAAAACAAAAGCATGTAGCCCTGGACTGTTGGAATTTTTTGACACCAAGTGGGGCTCAGTTGGTGGGAGCGACAGCAACATCCCACAACCTTTCTGTTGTGTTCCATCCGCGGTCTGGGCGCGGGCAAGCCCTGGCGGATGCATCGTGGAGGCAGCTGACCAAGGCTTCTCTTGCGCATCGACGGTTTTCTCTCTCCTTTCCTCTCTCTCTAAAAAGCAATAAAAAAGATGTCCCCGGGTGAAGATAAAAATAAACATTAAAGTTAATAAAAGCATTTAACCTTCTTATACTAACGCAGAAAACAAGATGCTGGCAGCAGCCTTGAACTTTCGGAAGCTGCCTGGGTCTGGGACTGTCCAGGTAGCAGTGATGACCGCACCCAAAGGGACCCTCGTTCGCCAGAGCTGAGGACTGGGGGGCAGGCAGGGCCGTCACTGACGTTTTGTGTGGGTGTGCTTTCAATGTAAAGAAAAATTTGGCAACATTTTTCCTTCTCTTCCATTGACTCTTCTAGCAAACACATGAAGCAAATCCTAGAGGAATCCACAGTACATTAAATTGAGGGCCTCTCTTTAGGACTAATTATAAAAATAAGCACATCTTAGAATCATAGCACTGTTGGCCAGGAAAAGGCTGCATAATTTAAATACGGCAAATACGGTCAGCCACTGCAAACCATTACAGAAAATATCAGGCTAGTAGATACTTACTGAGGAGGTATTCTATTCAGCACCAAGGGATTTTCTATCATTATTATTATTATTATTATTATTATTAATTTCCATCATTGGAATAATTCAAAATAACCATTGTTTAAATTTAACTACTTTTTTCCCTCTCCCTTTGGATAATGAATAATCAAAATAGGGGGGAAGTCCCCTCTGGTCCATATTTACAAGAAGAGGGATGGGAGAGCTCCACGGGCGGCTGCCCGGAATGGCTCAGGGAGCTCGCAGGTGGGGCTAGACGGTGCCAGGCGAGGCAAGCCCCGGCCAGGGAGGCAGGAGAGCAGCTCAGGTTTCCGTCAGACTCACCGCCGGGACGGGTCTGCTGGGACCAGAGGTCCTGTGTCGACGCAGCATCCCGATGACCTTCGAGCATACACGATGGGAAGTAAGGTGTCCATGTTGCGCAAGAGAAGGGTAGGGAGAGGGACACCCCAACAAGACTTCTGTCATGTGGAGGTGCGTCCACCACCTTGTGCGATGCTGCTGGGGCCCCGGGGGAACTTTTTGACACCAAGTGTAACCCTTCCACCTTACTGGAAAAAGTCATTTCGCAAGAGGACGTTCCCAACAAGCATTGCCTCTTCTACATTAAAGAGGCTTACGTATGTGATTAAGTCGTGAAGATTTGTTTGATACTCTTATTTATATCATGCTTTTTAAAACGACAGCATCAACTTATTTTATGGTAAAAATAGATACAATATATTCCCTCTATCATATCATTTCTTACTACTGCAACCATTAAATAGTGTAATTTAGGAAAGCATGAAGGTGTAGTGATGAAGAATACAGTTCTAGTTTAATTGTATATAAATTAATTTGGCATTCATACCACGGTTTCCATTTGTTTGACTTGTTGACATAATTACAGTAAATTGATAATGGAAGCAACAGTCTTCGATATTGCCACATAAATGTGCTCTGCTAATATAAATTTTCAGTTGCAGTTTGGCTTCATTGGAGCGTCCTTGGGTTCCGCGCCCCGCTCCCTGCCGGCAGCCCGGGAGGGCCGGGGCGCACGTCCTCCGGGCCGCTCGCCCCGCGGCGAGCGCAGGCCAGCGTGTGGAAGCAGCGCCCGGCGGCGCGGTGCGGCCTTGTTCGTCTCACGGCACACAGGAACGGAGCGCTAAACTGCTGTGGCGCCCCGGGAGATGTGGTTTTTTGCCGACCTGACAAAAAATAGGCACAATTTTCACTGATTTACAAAAATCGTAGTAATAGTAATTACCTACCCTTTTTGCTCCAGAGTGACTTTTTATAAAATCAGGTGCCTATGCGTGTATATAAGGATTTCTGGTACCAAGAATTAACCAATCAGATGCAACCTTATTTTGTGCCCTGACCAATAGGATGCAACTCTAGTATATGACCTATATACTATGGTTCAAGATAGAGTGTCCACACTGGACAGCTACTGTTGTGTTGGCTGTTGTCATTTTTTTATTCAACAATCTAAAAGAAATGAGGTCAGTGCCCCTGACTACATCGTCAGATGTTGCGTGCTTTGCAAATCCTTGTGGCACACCAGTGTGCCGTGGTACACCGGTTCAACATCAGTGACCTGGATACATGGGCTTTATTCTGCAGGAGCCAAAGAAAGGGGTGCTTTTGCAGTCTTAGAAAAGAGAGCTAGCCAGTCCAGGCTACAGGCCGGCAGGGAGCACGTGGAATGCAGCAGTGTCTTTCCACCAGTGGCGTGTGTCCATAGAAGGAACAGACAGAGGTCCTGGGAGAGGAGAGGATGACGTGAAGAGGAAGTCACTGTGCCCTAACGAACAGTATGAGGCGTTTTCTTGTTAAGTTGAAACCACTTACATTTTTCCCTGCCACCCCCGTATCTTCGTAAATGAACTTTGTAAAGTCCCATTGAATAGCCTTGAGATTTAAAGCTCAATGGTGTGATTTTGAATACTGATGGAGTTGGTTTAAGCCCTCGGATATTTCCTCTGCTTTTTTTACTTCTATTTTGGTCTCTTTCATGCAAAATAAAATTTATTTTCTGTACAGAGAAATCAATATTTTTACCATTTTGTTTTCAGCTATTCCAGTAAATTGCAATCAACATTCATTACCAACTTTAAAGAGATGTAGTAAGAATTTGAACACAATAAAACAGATACAGAGTAGAACTTTGGCAGAGTACCCTTGCTATTGGCAGAAGCATTTGTCAGGGGCTGTGGCTGCGTCTATGTTGTGCTGAAAACCTGATGAAGCGGGGGAGAGCATCGATAGATTTCACCTTCTGCCTGTACAAACCAAACAAACGGTCTAACTAATAGCTATTGTTTTGAGTGGATGGATTTGGTTTTTGGTCGTGAACTCTATTCCACTTAGAAATGCGTTTTAATTAACATGTTCATACCTAAGACATATGTGTTTGGTAAGCGCACGCGGCCCTTGTGCTCTTCATGACCAGGAGCGGGACCGGCCCCTGGAAGGCGGGTGGCCCGGGAATGAAGGCCTGTCAGGCCCCCGGAAACACGCTTGGGTGCGCGTTTGCTTGGTGATAGCGTTTGTGTTTGTACCCTCCCATCTTTCTCCCCTACAAGCTAACACGCTTTCTTATGTGTGTATTTTCTTTGTAGAAACTGCCAAGCTTTGGACCCTACCTGGAACAGCGCAAGAAAATCGTAGCGGAGCACAAGCTCACACTGAAGGGGGAACGCGCCGCTCTCCCGGCCCCCGAGAGGCAGCTTTTCATCCCCAAAAAGCCGATTCCCACCGTCAAGGTAAAATGAAGCCCTCCGACAACACGAGTACGTGGCTGTTCCAATGCACCGGGCGGTTGTGTTTATTTCCCGTGAGCGCGGACCGCCCCCGCCCCCGCCCCCGCCCCCGGGCCGCGCCGCAGAGCGCAGGGGCGGTGCACCTGGCTGAACCGCCCGCCGGGCGTCACAGTTCAGATCTGCTCCTCCTGCCGCGTCCGAGTCTCAACGGGCAGCAGCTGTCCCCCCTCTCTCCTGAGCCAGGAGCCTGGGTGCCGTCCTCTCCCCCGTCTCGGTCACGAGTGCGTCCCCAGGGGCCGCTGCTCCATCTCTCACGGCCCCTCCTCTTGTGCGCTCCCCTCTCTGCGGGGGCCTTCATATAGCGCAGTCTTCGCAGTCTTTCCTGGGACTCTGGAGCCCCTCCCCGCTTCTGTATTTATTCTTATCTAAGGCGCCCTCCAACTCTGCGTCCCCTGTGCACGTGACTCGGGCGCGGCCGAGCCGTGGCTCTGTCCCAGCGCGTTCCCTGGGCACGTGACTCGGGCGCGGCCGAGCCGTGGCTCTGTCCCAGCGCGTTCCCTGGGCACGTGACTCGGGCGCGGCCCGCGCTGTGGCTCTGTCCCAGCACGTACACCCAGGCACGTGTGTGTTCTCCCCTCTGCTGCTTCATTACCGCTCTTCTGTTTCCCCGTTCTGGGCGCACCATGTGTCCCAGCCCTGTGTCCCGGAGGCCTGCTCCCCACACGCGGACTCACCCGTGTGAGAGGCCCGCTGTGCTCCCCACCCATCTGTCTGGGGGGCTTGTTCTTGCGCCCACCCCGCTGGCCTCCTTGTGGATTTCTTGCTCAACGGTTTGCCCTCCAGGGCCCTGCCCCTCTGTCTCCTCGCCCAGGGCGGGGCATCACCGCAGGCACGTGCAGAGCCCCAGCGCCCCGCAAAGCCAGCTCGGCCCCTGTTGCCTGGACAGGTCCCGCGGCCCTGCTTTCAGGCTTCTAACCTGCGCCTCGCCCCCTGCTTGTGAGGGCAGCGGTCTTATTTCTAAGCCAGCCAGGCTCAGTGGATCTCTGCTCTTCGGCTCCTCCTCCCTCTCACGCGCCTCAGAGAAGACGCAGTGTTCTGGGGCCCCAGAGGGGGGCGCTGTCAGCGTCCGCCGTCAGCCCGTGTTTCCCGGCATTCGCGGTGCGGCCAGCGCTGTGCCAGGGGCCAGGCCTGTGAGCGGAGCCGCGCCGGCGCGGCCCGCGGCTCGGGGGCTCCCGGGCCGGGGCAGGGTCGGGGCGGAGACGTGGCGCTGACTTCCGTTTAACACGCTCCCCCGCAGCCCAGGAAGTGGGTTAGACACGAGAAATACAGCAGGAATTTTAAAAAGGAAGAAATCCATCCTGGTGGAGCTTGTAGCCTAACAAGGGAGAAAGACGCGTGTTAGAAATTATTTACAGTTCAATCAAATGTGTACAAAATGCTCTGGGAACACAGAGGAGTGAGGAGGATTAGTTCTGCCTCGGTTGACTGTGGAGAGCTTCACAGAGATGTGATATTTAACATGGAGTTTAATAAATTAGTGTTAATTAAGCAGAGAATTAATAATAAAAGCTAATATTTATTGAGTCCTTATGAGGTTTCAGGCCCTGTTTTCCGTGTTTACGCGTTAACTCGTTTCATCTCACGATAACCCCGTCCGCTACCAGGTAGCCGTGTTTTCCCTGCTTCACCGAGGAAGGGGCTGACAAACAGGGCGGTTGAATAACCTGCCCGAGACCACACAGCTGAGAAGGCGGCAACGCCAAGACTGGCCTCCAAGGCCCGGCCCTGGGATGGGGCCCTGGCGCGCCGTCTCCCCCGGAGGGAAGGACCGGGAGGCAGGGTTCCAGGGGCGTCCGCGCGGGCGCGCAGCAGGGCGCCCCCCCCGCCCCCCGCGCTGGCCCGCGGCGGCCAGGCCCTCGATGCAGCGCGGCCCCCGGTGGGCAGGTGGCGGCGTCCAAGAGGAAAGCTCGTTCTTGGTTCGGTTGGGGCTCCGAGGAGGGGCGGACTCGACGGACAGTAATCGAGTTTTCTGGATTGTTCTTAACAACGCGATGCCACCGGGTGAAGGGCCGTCCCAACTGAACTGCTCAGAGTCTCCGCGGCAGCTTCCGGGGGTTATTTCTGTGTCACCTGTGGCCAGGGGTCCTGGAGAACCCGTGTCCCCGCTGCCCAGCTTGGCCTCGACTCCTGAGACGCTGGAGAGTGGCCTCGGGGGAGCTCCGTCCTACCCAGAGGGCGTTGGGGGCTCAGGGGACAGCCTGGCATCCAGGAGGCTCCGTTGTCACCACCCACACCAGCCTGGCGTGCGTCGCTACTGGCGGCACAGCCTTTCGTAGGCGGGTGCCGCCCTGGGAGCTGCTGCGTCTGGGAAGGAAACAGGAACGGGTGCGCAGAAACGGGGGGGGGGTCATCGGAGCCAGTGCCGCGAGGCGGAGGGGAAGAATGGGCTGACATGAGAAAGAGCCGCTTCTTCTAAAGGACAGACGGGGCCTTCGGAAGGGCGCCTGCCACACGCTGCAGACAGAGAAACCACGCGGGAGGCAGGCTGTGTACTCGCCCAGGGCCGCGGCAGTGAGCGGGGCACACGCCAGCGAGGGACCGCCTCGCCCCAGGAGGCTGTCGCGGAGGCCGGAGGGCCCGCCAAGTCGCGGGCGGGTCCCCCTCCGTCGGAGTCGGCGGGATGAACTCGCTCTCCTGACGGAGCCAGGAAGGGCGGCTCCCTCACGTCTTCGTGTCCTCGCGCCTCCGGGCAGGGAGCGGGTGGCTCAGGGGCGCACTGGACTGTGGTCATCGCTCCTGCTGCTCCGGCCGGGACGCGGACCGCACCCCGTGAGGCGGGGAGGGCGCGTTGGCGGGAGCCCGCGCAGCCTGATCCGTTGTGAGAGAGGAGAAACGTGCTCAGGTGAAACCGGAGGGCCATTCCAGACACTACGGAGCCTCAAGGAGGTGGCAGCGAAGAAAAGCAGCCAAGGACTCCCCGTGGCTGTTGGAAGACGCCAGAGGCGCTCGTCCACACCTCTGCAAATCACAGGTGAAAACTCGTCACACCGAGCGCCCGAAAACATGACTGTATTTGGTGAGAATCAGCCCTGCCGTCCCGCGAGGGGCCAGGAGGCGTGGCCCACGGACTGTGAGGGCGCCAGGTCCCTGCTGCCTGGAATAAGCAGGTCTAGCCACAGGGCTGGGGAGGCGCGGGCGCGTCGGAGCCATCTGCGCGTGCGCGGTGACCCCGGCCTGGACGGTGACGCCGGGGTGAGGGCAGGTGCAAGAGGGGGGAACGGAGGACAAGCAGAAACGTGTCCTGGGATGACATCACAGGCCCCTCAACCAGCGGGGAACGTGGACAGGCGAGGGGAGGCCCGACAGACGCCCTCACGGCCTCAGAGAGCCCCTCCGCCCAAGGCAAGGCGCCTGCAGGGCTGCTGATCCCCTTGTCGGAGGTGCGGTGTCACCAAAGAGGGGGAAGCAACGAGGGGAGGCAGCGTCGGCTTATTGCCGGCTCCTTAAACCATCTGTTTGGAGAGGGGGCAGCCGAAGGAAGCTTGAGGCCGCCCGTGCGCCTCGGAGCTCACTCGGCCTCGGAAAGGAAGTCTGCGCTCAGATACGTGGGTGTCCCGCCTTCAGGAAATCTAACTTCCTGCGGCCAACGCCCCAAACCTGACCATGGACCGGGAAGACTGAGGGGCTGTGGACGGCAACCTGGTGACACCCTCGCCGAGCTTCCTCGGAAGCGAGGAAGGGGTTAAATGTGCGCAGGACTCAGCATTCACCGGTCAACACGCAGGTCACAAGTTACCGCTGTGATCAAGAGTGTCACCAAGGCTAAGGATGAGCCGTAAGTGCCCAAGCCGGAGATGACGTCCGTTTAGAGAAAATATTAGATACGATGGAAAAACATTTTGTCTATTAAAAGTTAAAAGAGAGAGAAAATACACCCACTCCTTAGAGCAGATGGTATATGGTAACTTAAAATTAGAGAAGACTGTTCAACTATTGTTTTTCTAGCCTGCCCAGAGAGAATGTTCGTAGAACTACACAGGATGGGAAGAGCATGTCAGAGCGATGAGCTCTAAGGTAGCTGGGGATAGAGTAACACCCCATTTAGCCTCCTCAAGTGAGTCTAGGTCCAGAGTCTGAAAAGAACTTGCTGCTCCAACGCCTGGTCCCACCCAGCTTAAGAGAGCACAGCGAAGAGGGCCGGGGTCTGTCCCCAGCCGTGCTGGGGCTCGCCCGCACCTCGCCCATCTGTCCCTGTCACTGAGAAGCTCCCTCCCACCCGGCCCTCTCTCCCCAGGTTCTGAGGCCCTTCCCTTCTGTGTCTGGGCTCACTTGCTTCCCTCGCTCAGCCCGCCGGCCTACGCGTGTTCCCTGGCTCCGCCCTCCCGTCTCGGTGCCCTCGCGCCGAGAGCCACTTGGCAACGTTCTCCTGGAGGTGAGCCCAGGGCTTCCTTTTCTGGCCCTGCAGCCCCCTTCCCAGTCCTCTCCCTCGCGGGGCGTGATGCAGGACCCCCCCAAACAGGTTGCATACTGTGTTTCTGAAAGTGTTTTTGAATGACATTGCTGTATCACACAACTGGAAAACAAATGTTGCCCCAGATTCTCTAGAACGGAAAAGGCGAATGTGCTTGGGAAAATGGGGACCAGACAGAAGCACCCCAGAAAGCTTGAGATCTAGCCCCAGTGAAATCCTGCAAAGATCCCTGAACTTTAGACCTGAGAGCAGGAGCAAAGGATCAAGTCAGTAAGAGTCGGCACAAAGTCAGTGAGAACAAACTGAGTTATCTCGTTTACGAGACAAGTGGTGCACTCGGGGCACAAGATAAGAACGGGCAACGTTGGTAATGGTCCAGATAAGGAAATGGCAGCGCGATTAGGCCCGAGTAATTTAAATACCGGGTCTCTTTCAGAGAGACTCACGGTGCTGGCCCCGCGGTGCGCTGTCCTTGGTCCTGACCTGCGAATGCCGCAGGGCTCAGACGTAGGCTAATCAGACGTCTAGCAGGCCTCAAACTAGGAAGAACAGTTAACGATCGCAACTTGAAAATACTCAATCACTAACAACAACAACAAAAATAGGCCAAAACTAACACACTCTTGCGGAGCATAATAAACGACGATGCAGCAGGGACAGGGCTGGACCCGCCGGTTCCTCCCTCGTGGGTCTGACACTTTCTGTCAAACAGGAATATTGACTGCTCTCTGGGTTTTTAAAAATACTTTTGATCATCCCAAACATAATCAATCGACAAAGATGTGATTCTGGAATTCTGTAGTCCTTCACAACATTAATTTCGGGAGCACACCTCTAAGGCAAGCGACTCTTCTCTACGTTAAAGAACTGAGTATCACTTTGCTTGCTCAGACATTCACAGGTGAGCACTCCCACGAACCAGGGGTGGCTGTAGCTGACTGTCGCACCTGTACATCCGCACCTGCCTGGAATAACGAGCGTGGGTTCCCTACTCTCTACAGGTGTGTTGACTAGTCACGTGCGCTTTGCTGACTGTACGGACCTCACAGTGAACGCCAAATTCCAGGGCGCGCACTCAGGGGTGTTTACAGCCCGGAAGCACTACCTGGAAGCTTTGAGTGCTAAATAGATGTTCACATTTTCATCTGCACAGAATGACAACTTATTTTCTTTGATATTCTTGTCCAAAAATAATCTAAAATAGTCATTCTTTAATCCTCTTCCAGATTAAAAATATTTATATTTTTTAAAGGTTTTATTTATTTATTTTTAGAGAGAGAATAAGGGAGGGGGGAAGAGAGGACGAGGAGCGTCCATGCAGGAGAGAACCATCAGGCAGTCGCTTCTTGCGCGCCCCCAGCCCGGGGTGGCCTGCAGCTCAGGCCCGCGGCCCGACCGGGAGCCGAACCAGCAGCTTTTCACCATGTGGGATGGCAGCCAGCCCACTGTGCCACGCTGGCCAGGGCTGTGATTTTCTTAGGAATGGCGATGAATGGGGCAGGGTGGGGGCATTTTAACACCAAGTGCTAATAACTTAGAGGGGCTCCAAGGACCTTGTTTTATTTAGTTCCACATTTAAACAATGGTGTTTTAGTAAATGACAACAGCAAGTCTCCAGTATGGAGTTAAATTCATATTTAATATGCACAGAATATAAACTTGCTTCCAACAACAAAATCTCATAGAACAACACACTGTCTGTGCCGAGCAGGCCTCACAAGGTTGATGGCCATTGAGGGGGTTCCCTTTCTAACTGTCTTTTGAGTATTTCCTGGTGATTTGAAGGAAGTCATAATCTGGTTCAATGAAACAGCTATGTTGACTGATTGCTTGGCTAGATAAAAAACAATTATTTACTATCACACGTAAGTAGGCTTTTACAGCCAGAGAGTGACCTCATGTATAGTCTATCTTAAAATATTATTAGAAAATATTAAGCCATCCAGATGCTTTGATAATGGTTCTTTTTTATTTAAAGAAGTACTCAAATATTTTTGTGAATTTCATATTAATATAAATGTTCGGTAAACCAACAAGTAGCTATTAGCTCACAACTATGTGCCTAATACTATGCTGTGTATTTAGCAATTTGTTTGTTAGATAAACAAAAGATACGTTTATTTTAATGAATATTTGAGTGCCCATTAAGTTTCCGTGGTCTGCAGGAACAAGATACCCTAGGAGACCCAAAAATGAATAAAACCCACTAAGAGAATGCAGGTAGGAAACTAAATAGGAAAATAACTATAGCACCAAGTGGAAAAAGCTAACCAGAGAAATAAGAGATGAGTCAGCTTCGCACAGCGCTATGGCCCTGGGGCTTTAGGTCACACAGCAGTGGTCTGACTCTCTGCTTCCTCCTTCACAGCTGACCTTGAACATACGTGTTTTCCTTCTTTAATAATGCCGTTGGCCCTTCAGCTCCACGGGTTTCACACGGGCAGGTCCGACGGGCACCGATCCCGCGCAGTATGTTTCGCATTGCTGACCGGGCTGGGCGGCGGGTTCAGCCCGCAGGCGCGCCGGGCCAGTGGGAGAGTCAGGGCAGGCCCCCCCTGCAGGGCGCTGGCCGCCGCCGCCGCCCCTGTCGCTCAGGGGTCGGCTCGCTTAATTTTGGAGCCTCACATTTCAGTCACCTCATCATCCATAAAATGCGTGAGGTTTAAATGAGAAAATGCTTAAATTAAGGCGTTGGCCTGATTCACGGTGAGAACTCAAGAGTCGTCTGTTATCATTAGTTCCACATAATAGATCAAATACTGTAGGCCCTGCAGGGAGGAAAAACAGCAAGAGGAAGGGGGATGAGACAAAGGGAGACCCCATCTCCCATTTGGTGAGGAGGAGGAGGAGGAGGAGGAGGAGGAGGGCCGATGGAGGACACGCTCAGCAGCAGCGGCACGGGAGCTGTCCCTGCACAACGGATGGGACTTCTCGGAGTGGGGACGGGAAGGAAGGGAGGCCTGGAGAGAGAAGGCGCGAGAGTAGGCACCGGAACAGTTGATTGACAAGTGGGTCCAGATTGGCTGAACCACACGGTGGTTGGAGGTGAGAACGGGACCAAGAAGTCCGTGTTGGTGGGAAGCCCTAAATGCTAGACTGCAAGGCGAGACCGCGCCCGAGCAGCAGCCTTCGGAGCGAGGTAGCGAGTGGAGTCTGTGTGGCGAGGCCTAGGGGAGGCCGACCGCGCGGCGTGGGGTGGCGAGGAGACAAGGGTGTGAGCAGAAGAAGTCACTGCCGCAGAAGTCGTGGGCAATCGAGGGGCCGTGGTGAGTGATTATACTGCACATGGGCAGACGGTTCAAAAGGTGTTGCAGATCCGGGACGCAAACACGGGACAGCAGATGCGAACGGGAAGCAGGGAGAAGTTGCCAAAAAGCACAGCTCTGAGACGTCAAGGCCAGGAGAGTGGAGAAATCCAAGCAGTGTTCACCAATGTAAGGAAATCAGGAGGCCCTGCTTTGCAGTGCTGATGTCACGTTCAGCACGTGGGGAAACTGAGGCACAGCCCTCATCCTCATCATGCCTCTGGCAAGGGGGCCTGTGGCGCCGGTGAGGAGCATTCAGAATGGAGAGGCTGGTTCTGACGTCTGGTGCCCCCCGGCAGGCGGACTGCAGTCTCGTTGCGGCTGTACTGTCAGCCCGGCGGGAAGGAAACAGTGAGGACAAGGCTGTGTGTTCTCCGCCATCCGGCTCCTTGAGAGGTGCGCAGGTCGACCGCACGCAGTGACGGAAACCTTGCTTCCGTTTGAAAACGCCAAGTCGTGGGCATATTGGCACCGAGAGCTGGAACGGGGGAGGGGCTGGAGGAAAGCGCAGCCCAGGCCCCAGGGGAGCAGAGGAGGTAAAACACCAAGGCAAGGAGGGGGCCGCTGGGGGGGAGAGGCGGCCCTCCTTGAACGTGGACCTTGAATTCAAACAAAGGATTCCCTTGCTAAAAGTCAAAAACAAAAGCAGACAATCTTGACAGCATACTAATTTGACAAACGTTGTTACATTCTTCTGTTTTGTTTTACGAAACAAAGTATTTCTTATTGTTGATGAAACATCTGTGCTTCACGTATTAAGCACGCTTTTAATTAACGTGAAGAACAAAGCAATGTGTAACCGCATGCAATTCTTCTGTGGTGAATGAAGAAAATCCTAGTTCTCACAAAGTAGCAGAGCATCTTATTTAGCTATTAGATGAGCCTAATCAATTAACATAAATTAGAATTTTTAAATAATGCGATATACTCTTCAAGACCTGACAGGTGGGTGTGCTAAATGAAAACCGAGAATCCAAATGCAGCGATATAAATGCAAAGCATTCCCGTTTTCATTTCCCTAGTCCTCAGCATCTAAAGACTTCCAGCAGAAGGGCACTATTGCCCCGCGTCTCTTCTCATTACTTTTGGATCCTTTGAGGTCCAAAATTGAGAAAAAGGAAGCTGCTACCCCTGAAAAGGCTGTCCCTCCCTCCATCCACAGAAACGCTGTTCAGATAGCAGAGAACCTGTTGAGTGTGGTTCACAAGGTCTCGTGTTTCTAAGCGAGACGAGTGCACCGCCCGCCTTTCCAACGACAGGCGCGTTAGAGCTGCTAGAGCCAAGGGAGGCACGCAGGCGTGTGAGCGCTGTGTAATCTAAGCCTCCTGGGTCACTCAGCGCAACCTACGTAAAAACGGGGGTCCTGCCTGACACCGGTGCGTCATCCCACGGCAGTGCGTCCCTGCAAGCGCCGAGAGTGACCCCGTGCCTGTCTTCCAGGACGTCATCGGAAGGGCGCTGCCACACCTGGGGGCCTTCAAGGACCTGAACACCATGGAGCAGGTGGTGGCCATGATCGATGAGGAGATGTGCATCAACTGTGGCAAATGCTACATGACCTGCAATGACTCCGGCTACCAGGTAAGGACCCTGCGTGGGTCAGGATGCTGGGAGGCGCGTTCCCTCCGGCTTCGGTGGCAGAAGGCTGCCTGCGCCGCCGAGCCTGCCCGTCAGACCAGGCGTGCCACCGGCCCCACCGCTGTGGCCCTCGCCCCAGAGCACGGCGTGTTTAGGTCAAGGAAGGCCGCCCCTGCCGGTGACGGTGCCTCCCCTCCTCGCGCGGCGTTACTGCAGCACCATTCCGTCACCCGTGGCACCAGAGGGGAGGTTCCAGCCCGAGAGAGAGAGCCCCCCAGCTCTGAGCTCGGGGACCACTGTGGCCTGAGGCACGGGAAGGGACAGGCCGGCCGCGCACTGCCGCTGCTCTGAGCCCCTCCCGCCCACTGCCGCCCGGCCGGGCGGGCTGGGAGCGCCCCCCCACCCCCCGCCCCCTCCAGAACGGCCCCCGCGCAGGGTCCTTCCCAGCCCTGCCCCCGCCCCCCCCCCCCCGGCCGGATGGGCCCTGGGGCAGCGGCCACAAGAGGGCGCCCCCTGGCTGCAGGCTACTCATGCAAAATAATGCTGTTTGCGCTTGGCTTGTCAAACTATAAAGGTAAATAGAATTTTCAAGATAGACAAAACGGCCCGTTTTTAAAAATTGAAGTTCATTGACCTTCTTCAGCCCAGAGGGAGGTCCCGTGTTGCTCAAGACGGGGTTTGCCTATTCTGACCACCTAATAGAGGTGTTTTTTTGTTTGTTTGTTTTTTAAATCTTTTCAGCCTTAGTTTGACCTTAGTTCTAGACCAAATTTTTAACAATGTATCACTCTTTTTTTCGAGCTGAAAGGTGCCTCCTACAGTTATTTTGAAAATGCTGACCCTATCACATTGACTTTTACATCATCTTCTCCCTAGTTAGCCAATCAGAGAAAAGTCAGCAAGTCCTACCACTAAGATCACCCAGAGCATCGGATGCTGATATCTAACGTCTTAGAGGTTCTGACTCCCACTGTGACATTCTAGCCTCAGTCCCACGTCACTAAAAACGGTCCTGTCAGGGAGGAGGGGTGAGGAAGGGAGAGAGGAAGTATATGTTCTCAGGTTCCTCACAGCCCTGCCCTGGCTCTGAGCCGGAGGCCGTGCCCTGCTTCTCACGGCCGCGCAGGGGCGGGCGGGGACGGGCGTGGAAGGGCAGGCGGGTGCCCCAGCCCTCCGCCTTCCGTGGCTTCCCCGTGTGCTGGGACAGCAGCTGGACTCCACTGGGAAACCCTCAAACCTCAAAGTTGGCTCCTAAGCTAATTTTTTTCACTGCATTTTTTTTAATATCATTTGAAATCCAAACGGGTGCCTCGTCACCTGGGTGCCAGCGAGGCAGACGAGAAGGGGGCAGCAGGGGCAGGCGGGGTCCTCTGTCCAGTCGGACTGCAGAGGGGCCGGAGCGCTGCTCCAACGGGGGACAGAGAGCACCTGTGTCACCCCATTGCGCGACACAAGGGAAATAACTCCCGGGAATGTTTGACCCGCACTTCTAATTTACAAGGACTTCCTGTCTTCCTTCCCCGCCCCTCCGGGGGCTCCGCTGTGGCTGCGTCTGCACCGGCACTGGGCAGAGGGTGCCCGCGCCCAGCTCACCGCAGGGAACAAGAGCCCGGCGCTCCCTCCCGGGGTGGGGTGCGGGGGCGTCCCTGGCTTGGGGGGGCAGTGACAGCCGCACTCCCCGCCTCTGTCTGCAGGCCATCCAGTTCGACCCTGAGACCCACCTGCCCAGCGTGTCAGACGGCTGCACCGGCTGCACCCTGTGCCTCAGCGTCTGCCCGATCATCGACTGCATCCGGATGGTTGCCAGGACCGCCCCGTACGAGCCCAAGAGGGGCTTGCCCTTGGCCGTGGGGCCGGTGTGCTAAGGCGGTTGCTGACGCCCTTCGGTGAGCTCCGAGGCCGCCCACACACGCGTGTCTTTTTCCTTGTGCTCGCGCGGTCTGGCGCTTTCAAAATTAAAGCAAACACATAATTTCTAGAGAGAAATCTAATATCTAGATAAATGTCTAAATTATAAAAAAAAAAAAAAAAGTCCACTACCTGCAACCATTCACTGGTCATAAAATCGTGAAAAATATTAAGTTTTTCTGCCAATTAATGTGGCAATTTCCAAACTGGCCTGTGCTGTCCTCTTTGATTTTTTATTGTAAGTGAAAGTTAAGTATTTTAGAACAAAGTACAATTTAACCTACAAAAAGATGTTTCCAAGGAAACATTTTATAATAAAAAATCACACTTAATTTTAACACTGTTTCTAAGCAAATATAATTATCTCCAGGAAGCACAGATGAAGAAAGTCAAATAATTTTTTACAGTGCCAGGAGAACACGAGCCAAAGGGTCTGCAAAACTTTGCAGAGAGAGACCCCTCCGCCGGCCTCGCCGCCTTCGGGCGCCAGGTGGTGAGCGATAGTGTGTGGTGCCCGTGGGCTCCGCGCCGCCGTTCCCGCCCAGCCCCGAGGCCGGCGTCCAGCCCTGCCTGTGAGTCAGCACAGCGTTCTTCTTAAATGTGCAAACTATGTTCCTGACCAAACACGGCATCTGGGCAGAGCTCTGGTGAAAGCCGCTCTTCTCCGCACACAGATCTGCTCTCTGATTTTAATAATAACCTTCATTATAGCAATTAACATTTGAACAGCATCCAAATTATACAGCAGTGGGTCATGTGCTTTGTTATTCAAGAATGAAAAATATAGTATTGGTAATATATGTTAAATGAGCAAAAGCAGTACAACTACTCTTTCTTTTAATGCTTATGTTAAGTTTGAGAAGTCATGGAATAAAAAAGAAATATATTTTTTCTGCACTTGCCAAACAATATTTTTGCATCTATTTTCACAATCAGCATACAGCACCTTGTAATCCAGGTATCTCTTATTGGCAGCGTATTTTGATACACATTCCTAAGTAGTAAACCTTTAACAATTCATGGCGTGTCTCTGTGACAAATGGAAGGTGGGAAAGTACAACGTTTGATTATGCACTTTGCGATATGAACATTTACTGCCAAATCTATATGATTGAATAATATCAAATAAAATTTCACGAAGCATTTTAACGCACGCGGTCTTCAGCTGCCTCCTTTGCAAATGCATCCGCCCGTGAGCCTCCGCGGTCCTGAGGCGGAGCGGCGCCGGTGAGCCCCGCCCGGCGCACGCGGCCCTGCCCTGGCTGCACCTCGTCAGGGGAAGGACAGTGCTGCTGTGTGAATGTCACCATTTCCACCTTGACAGTTGTGAGATTCTAAGGACTCATAGGAACTGACCGCTTGTGTCATCGTGGGGGTGTCTTGCCTTCTGGACGTGGTCACAGAATTGTCCAGAAAAGAACTTTGCCAGGGCCCCATGGATGCCATCACGGGCGCGGTCCCTCCCTCGACAGGACAAGAGCCTTGTCCTGTGAGAGCTCACAGCCTCTGGGAAGTTCGTGGAAAGACGCCCGGGCCTGTGCCCCTTCAGTGCCCGGACTGCCAGGCAAGGAGCCCCTCATGGAGGCGAAGGAGGAGCGCCGTCCACGACCTCGCACCCTCCTCTGAGAAGGGGCGGGCGCAGGTCACTGCTCTGCTCCGGACCCCTCCTCTGGGAGCGGAGCTGCCGGGGAGCACGGCTCCGTGAGGCCGCCATGCCCATGACATCACAGTAGTTTGTCCTCCCACGCATTTCTTTCTGCTGTGTCTACCTTCTGCCTTATACTAAGAAGCCTTTCTCATCTGTGTTGTTTATAGGAGACGTAGTCGCACTTTACATGGGTGGCTGGCAGAGAGGCTCAGAGTAGAGGGAGGAGAGTCACGGTATTCCATGGAGCGAGAGGCCGCCGGCCGCAGGCCCTAGCACACACAGGCTCATGGCTTCTCCAGGCGTGAGCGGAGACGTAGGACCAGGCCGAGGAGTCCGGTTAGTGAGTGAGTGTTTCCTGTACTAAATGTTCTACTTAAGTGATAGTGACTGTTGTGTGTCAGCCCAGCTGGGCCGCAGTTCCCTGATACTTAGCTAAGCACTGTTCTAGATGTTTCTCTGATGGTGGTTTTGGATGAGATTTACATCGAAATTGGTAGACACCTAGTAAAGCAGATTGCCCTCCCTAGTGTGGTGGGCCTCATCTCATCCGTTGAAGGCCGGGCTAGAACAAAAGGCCGACCTTCCCTGAGCAAGAGGGAGCTCTCCCGCAGGTGGCCTTCGGTCTCCCTTGGCGACACCCACTCTCACTGGTTCGCCAGCAGACCGTCCTTGCACTCCAGCGGTGACCGTTTCCTAAATCTCCAGCCAGCCAGCCTCCCCTGTCCAATTTGGGACTCATCAAACCTCCACAGTCACAGGAGCCAACTTCTTAAAATGGAAAGCTTCACACACGCGCGCGCATGCGCACGCATGCACGCACTAGTGGTTCTGTTTCTCTGGAGAGCTCTCAGTAATACAAGATATATTATCTTGTTTGAATGTTGAAATGAGCAAGGGTAGGTTCTCTTGGTTTTTGCCCCATTCACAAATGAGGACACGGGCACGTAAAGAGTCTGAGTAACTCGTTCCCATTCACGTAGCTAATTAGGTCTGTCGGTCACGTCCAGTGTGCCATCTGCTTCCCCCTGTCGGCTGGTCTTTGTCAAACACCTGCCCCGCACCGAGCACTGGGCTGAGGGCTGAGGGCTGAGGGTGTGATCCCAGATGGTGGAGGTTCCCTAAGCTCCCCACTTGCAGTCCGCGGGGAAACGGGCCGGTGCCGGTTCTTCCGGCGCACCCGGCGAGCACCGGGAAAACCGCTCGGGCAGGGGGATGGGACGTATAAGGCGTTGGCCCTTGACAAGATGATAAATTAAGCTGAGGGTTTAGTTTGTAAAAGAATTTCCCGAATACAGAAGGGGAGAATGGTATCTCAAGCAGCGGAAGTAAGGAAAGCACAGGGGTGTGGCAAGTCTGGAACGATCAGAAAACGGTAAGGGCTTGGGCGTGGCTGGAACGGACTGAACATGTGCTGGGAGAGGGGACAGGTGCGAGTGGTCTTTGGACCCCTCAGCGGCCACAGCCAGCGTTTGGCTCATTCACCCACCTCAAACGCTAAGTGCCTCCCTCATGCCGAGCTCCTGCTCGTCGATGGCAATCCAGCGACGAATGGGACAGATGTGGTTCCTGCCGTACTGAGCGTGCACCTCAGTGGAGGGTGCAAAGAGCCAGCGAACAAATAAACTGCAAGGTCATGGCAGGCGCTTTGGCAGTAAGAGCAGGGCCTGGGGTAGAGAGGAGCAGGGCGCCCCTTCCTCGGGGGGTGGGCAGGATGTCCGGTGCCTGCCACTCAACCATCAGGGAAGGGTGTGTCCCGAAGAGGGAACAGCAGGCACGGAGGCCCTGAGGCTGAGAGAGCCTGGCCTGTTGAAATTCCTGAAAAGAGAGGCTGAGGTTGAATAACAGAAGGCAACACCTGCCGCTCATAGAGACGGGACTAGACCCCTCTCCCACTCCGACAAAAGCGTACAGGGATCTGTTCAGAATAGAGGTTCTTAGCCCATTTCATAGGTGCAAAAACCAGGACTTGAAGAGCTGAAGGGCTCACCCAAGGCTGCGCGTCACACGCCCTCCTGCACCCGCCCGCCCGGCCCACCCCTGCTCGGCCCTCAGCCTCCCACTGGGGGCGGGGGAGCTGCTCACCCCGCATGCGGGCCGTTCGAACCCGGACCTGCCACGTGCCGGGCGTGTCGGCTCGGGTGGCTGACTAGGCCGTGACCCCCAACTTCCTCATCTGTAAAAGGGAGAAGACAGGAGCCTTGCGCTGACTACATCGGAGAGAATTCTAATGCTACTTAGGGTGGACACTTCACTATTTGCTATCACTTATGGGCATAGACATTTCAAGTACAGTTTTAAAAGATGAGAGGCTGCCTGCAAAAACCTGCAGTCGTGACACCCAAAATCAGACCGTCCAGCAGTAACTGGTGGGGTAACTTCCTAAGCTCACGTCGGCCACCGGTGCCCGTCTGGAAGACTCCCAGGCAGTTGGAGGATCGAGAATTGTTAAAAAGAAAGTAGAATAGCCAATTCTGACAAAAATAAAAGATCCCAGTAATAAAACTTATCACATACAAGCTTATCTATACACCCAGTGATATCTTCCCCCCGCCCCCAGCCCATATATATAATTTTACTTTCTCAATTCTATGAGCTGGGTAGAACAGGTAGTATTTTTTCTATTGTTTTTATTAAGAGGAAATTTAAAGACAAAGCAGATAAGTGACTCAGAGAAATCTGTGTGTTTAACTGGTATCGTTTTTGGAAATGAAGCTCAGCTGACTTGACTTTCAGCCAGCGCCCTGCCTCGCAGATCACTCTGCTACGTTATTATATATTTGTCTACAGTATGGATATTTGAGGATGCGTTACACACTTTTGCTGGCCTTAGGGTGCCAATCGTGGCCTGAAGACATTGTGTAATAACTACTGTCTGAGTGGGTTAAGATACTGCCCTTGGAAACGAGTTTATTACAGAGCAGGATCCAATCTGCTTCTAGCTGATGGAGTTAATGCGGTTAACAGGAAGCCACTAGACACACAGTCACCTGCCCAGAGCGGCACCTTCTCCTCTCACTCACGGAGGCACCTAGGCAGCAAACTGCGGCAGAGCAAAACGTGGGACCAGACCCTTGATGATTCTGGGAGGCTCCTGCAGCCTAGCTCTCCCTTCTGTCCATTCATAGGCTAACGTTAATAATCTGGCGCCTCTCAGTAATCAATGTGGACTTCTGCTTGAGTTTTGAGAATCACAGATGGCCTCTTTAAGGAGAGCGGGCCTCTGGGGGCTGGGAAGGAGCACACCCGCCCGTCTGGCATGTGAGCCTCTCGTTCACCGGCCGGCAGCTTTTGTGAAGCCCAGCTCGCCCCTGCAGAGCTCACGCGGTCGCCTCTCACTGTCTCCGTATTTACTGTTCTGCTGACATGCCCTGTCAGCGGGCCGCGCCGCGTCGGGCCGGCGCCCCGTCTGGGGCAGGGGTCTCCTTGACCGCCGCGCCTGTGCGGCGCCTGGCGGGCGGGATCCAGGGTTTTTCCACAGCCCGGTCCTGCAGACGCAAGCGCCGCCCGTGCTCCCGGCTGCCCGTCTCCGCCGCTGCCTTTCACCGCGTCGCTCAGAGATTTGCCATAGTCGACAGGCGGGTCGAGACCTCCTCTCTCGCCAGTAATTTTCCTTTATGGGTTTCTGTTGAAAATAAGATCTTCCTGCCTATTAGCAGCACTGGCTTATTTGTCTTCCCCAGCCTTCTGTGGCACCCACCTTCATGCGATCTGGATATGCTGGTCAAAGATAAAACGCTCTGTGCACATATGTAAAAAGCACTGTATACGACGGCCGTACATCTACATCTCTATACACACACACACACACGAGTGTGCATAAACACACGCGTGCGTTAACATTTAAGATTACCGAAAAGGTTAAGACAGCCTATTTTTCCCGGAGGTATGAGAATCTGAGTGGAAGATATGAACCTTTCAATTCTATTTATGTCTTTAGGCAGGAGGCTCACAAATGCTCACATTCTTTGTTTCTAAAGGAGCCTCTTTTGAGGGAGAAGAGGAAGGAGGGCTTAGGGATGTGGGACAGGGCTGTAGGAAGATAATCATGAGTTTTGTAACTCTGTTTCTGTGTGGCAGCGTTCAGAATATTGTTCCTCCTCACAGCCTATGATGTTCTGACGGGGCTTCGACCAACATATGGGGTGTGGTGGGGGTGTGGAATGTGCCTGGGCTGGGCATCGGACTCCCAGCGTTTGGGTGTTCGGGATGGCGCTCCGACCAACGGAGCCGCCCAGCCAGGGCCCGGGCAGTTGCGATTCTAGGCCACTCACTTGGTACAGCAACAGGGAACCATACCTTGCCTCTTACTATTGAGGCAACCACTTTTGCCCTCAGCCAAGAGGTGGTTACAAATCAACCCTCCCCCACACCTGCCCCAAATCACAGAGACAGTTCCACAGAATCAGGGGGTCTTTATGAGGGCCTTTCGGACGACAGCGCTCTCCCAACCATCATGAACTACTGGGCCCCGATGCGCATGCATGTAAATTCAGGGTAAT